ATATGTTCAACCGACGCCTTGTTTGAAGAAGCTGAACGGAAGTTTGAAAGAAGAGCGAGACGAAACGGCTATAGCAACAACTATATAAAAAAAGTCCAGACAACAAAACGAAAACTGCCAAAATCGAAAGTTGAACCTCTTCCCACATTCACAATTCCATTCATTTCCAGAAGCTTTACGACTGACATCCGAAGAGCGGTCCAGAGTTCAAACCTCAATGTCAGAATAGTTGAAAGACCACAAAGCTCGCTTAAACAACTCCTCGTAGAATCGCGACCTTACGATAAAGTATGCACAGACACCTCTAAATGCCCAATCTGCAGCAACTCAAATGCTCCCGTTCAGTGTACACAGAAAGATGTCGTGTATCAAATCAACTGTGACCTTTGTGGAGCAACGTACGTAGGCGAGACAGGCAGACCATTGGTGGTTCGATACCAAGAACATTTTCGTTCCGCAGCAAACCCGAAAGCAAAGTCCTATAAAAACATGGCTTTCTCGAAACACTACCTCGACCAACATTACGGACAAAAACCTAAACTGTCTGTTAAGATTTTAAAAAGAACAAAAGGATCTGTAGAACGGAAAATTACCGAAGCATTATTCATCCAAAAGCTTAATCCAGACTTGAATGAAAAATACGAACAGTTAAATGTCTTAGATTTCGTAGTTTAAACATTAAAGACAGAATTAACAATTTCTAATTTTTATTAGAATTAATCGGACACGGGCACGTAATTTATATGCTTACGCAATTTCGCACGCGCGAATAACGGTCGCAATTTTAACGTTTATGCATGCGCATGTTAGTTTAAATTCAAATTGTAATCCTACCTGAAGATGGAGTAAATCTCCGAAACGTCGTTTGTTAATGAAATAAACATTTAAAAAAGTCTTACTGTGGTCTATATATTGAACACAAAATATACTAATAACATGAGACTTAGGGAAAGTTCGTTCCTAAACACTGTAAGTAGTGTTTAGGTAATTATGCAGTTGCAATTTGGCTAGTAATAAGTTCAGTATTTGTATAGGTTTGCATGGCGAAAATATAATACATATTTTTAGTCTGTGGAAACAGGTTCAGAATAAGAATCACCAGTACTGTTGCCATAATCAATCAGATGCGTTTAATTAACAGATCCCTGCATTGCCAATCAAATGTGCATGAACCCAATCAAAGCTATAGGTAGCGCCAGTGGTAGTGGAATTGTGAAGGTGTTTCCACAAACCGGAATCATGCATATAGTCGCCTAGTAGTTAGTCTAAACATATTTATTTGGCGCAATTGCCCCAGGAGCACACGTTGGCTCATCTAGGGGGCTCTTGCACAAAAATAAAGATTTACATATTCAAGCATGCAACACACAAGTATCACACAACATCAATAATTATAAGGTTTTACATATATCACAATCAGAGTCATCGCTTTGAAACACGTTAATTACCTACTGCAACAAGCCCTCAGAAACACAAGCATCGAGAATTTTGTAGCACCTCAGACAGCTTGTTACAGTTAAACAGGTACTTACAATAATATTTTTTTTACATTTTTTACGAACTGAGAAACGAGATGTATCAATTATAAATCTTTGTACAGCAAAAAACAATCTATGATTTACATTAAAAGCAACGTTATTACATCCAGAAAGCAAAAAAGAAAGTTTCCCAGGTCTATTAGAATTGAACCAATAATTCCCAAGACATTCTGCAGCCGTAGTAAATAAAATCGAACGGTAAGTATCCCAAAGCGGGTAATGCAACAAATAATTTTCAGTAGTTTCACGATGGTATCCGCACGCACAAGTAGGAGACGGCGGCCGTCACAGTCAGGGGCGGATCCGGCCCAAAAACTGACCGTGGCTCCTAAACCACGCATAACTAGGGGGGGCCGGGGACATGCCCCCGGAAACTTTTTGAAATTTGAAGCCCGGAAACACCATTTCCTGCAATCTGAGCGGCGTATTTCTTCCTCAAATTTCGGTCTATAAACGGTGAAGCATGGCCATTATTTGCTTTTGGTGCCACCAAATATATCAACAGTTCGGGTAGGATAGTATATTGAATCGGTAAGCCAATTACCTTCGCTAAGGTAAGCATATCGACGTGAATTCGTAATTATGCGCGTTATGCATTGCTTCTTCAGTAACTGCTGCTGTATGATCATGTTATCTCAAACTCATTAATAATTCATGAGTAAATTAGCCAACCATATATTGCTTTATTTTGCTCACATGATAATACTGGATACCTGGTGAAGTACATTGATCCAGTCCTTGGACTGGATCAAAATTAATTAATAATGGACTTGATCAAATTACGCGGACTTGAAATTTAGTCCGGTCCTCATAGTCGGATTTGAAATATTACTTCAAAAACTGACATGGCAGTATCAGACAAGCACTTTGCAAAGGCAATTTTAAGCCAAGTGAACGCTCCATTCGCAACAGGTGAATCAGAAAAGTAAACAATTTGAAACGGCTCTCAATTTCACAAATCCGTTCATGTCATTAAATATTTGATAAACATAGTAGATTGTTTGGGTACTTATAATGTAGAATAAACAAGAAATTTTTGTTAAGATAAATTTTCCAAAGCAGGGGGATCTTTTTTAGCAGCATTAAAATAGCTTGCACATGAAATTTAAAGGTTAAAACGCATTTTGAGTTGATGGACGAGAAATTTGTTATGTGTTTTATTAATGGTCCAAATATCAGAAAAATTGCTGAATTTTATGTCCTTCAAATAGGCGCTGAAACTATAACTTTTGGCACCAATGCCTTTACGCATGCTTAAAGGACATTGGCAACGAAAATTTTTATTGGCTATTTCAATCCTACTTGACAACTGAACATTGCATTTACCTAATTTGCATAAACTCGATTGATACATTTCAGATATTTTGTCCGCTAAAAAACTTCATAGTTATCAACAGGAGCCCGAAATAAAATTAGAGTAAAATAGTTCGTTCTCATAGACATAGTATAAAGTTTAAAAATTACATTAAAAATTATCTACGATATACTGTCGGGAAAAAGGTTGACATTAATAATTAGTAGTTAAATTTAGAGATGAGGTGCTGCCATATATGGAAATTGATTGACAGGCATGAGATAAAAGGAATGTTGTTAATTGTTATTGCATGGGGAATATATGTAACTGGGAGCGATTTGGGAAGGGATTATAATACAAAACACAAGATAAACGCGTAATTTTGCTCTTATTGTGGGGATCGAACGAAAATCTACCACAAAGGGCACCTCCAGACGGGATTAACTTAATAAACGGGATATAGTGACAAACGTAAAACGGGATATTTTACACAACAATCGAGTTAGAGCAAAATACGTGGTATATGTAAACCAATACAGAGATCGAGATGTTAACACGGCAATCGCGAAATGACGTCGAAGCACAAGGAGAACAAACCATCGCACAAAACGACATCGAGTCAACAGAAGCCAATTTCAAATCGTTGTTGAGAAAGCTCGCTTATTTTAACCGATCTACGGCTGATGCTCTAGAAAGTGAGTACGAAAGTGACAAAATAAACAGACAATATACTTTGCTTAAAACCAAGCTGGACGAAGCGTACGATTTAATACAAACTATACAAGGTTTAAAGTTAGATTCCGACGAAAGCGACGAAGCAATCGATCAATGGACTCAGGAAAGGAAATTACAAGTGCAACCCTATGAAAATGCGGTCGAAAAGCTCGACGAAAGGCTAAAACATGACGAAAGTATACGCAAGGAAAAGGCTCGTAACGACAAGCTAAACGAGGACTCTATTATTCGAGACTGGATGAGGCAAGAAGAACAGGAAGCTGAGAACAATAAAAGAATTCGTGAGGAGAAATTCGCTTTACAACTTGAGGAAAAGAAATTGGAAATAGCAGAAAAGAAATGCGTGAAACCGAAATTACCAGATTTGCAAATATCCAAATTCCAAGGAACATATCTTGACTGGGTGAGATTTTGGAGTCTTTTTTCAACTCAAATTGATCAAACATCCATTCCAGATGAAGCTAAATTTTCGTATTTGAAGGAACTTGTCATACCAAAGGTACGTGCAACAATTGAGAAATTACCAGCTGACGGTGTAGAGTATAAGAAAGCCAAGGAATTCTTAGAACAAAGATATGGTGACTCTAGTGAAGTGGTGAATGCCCATATTCAGGAAATAATGTCATTGCCAATTATTACTGGAATTTCAAGACCCAAGATACACAATTTTTACGATAACCTTTTGGGACATGTTCAAGCGTTGGAAACACTGGGGAAATTGGAACAGGTTGCCGGTAATGTGCGAATGACCTTGGACAAATTAGTGGGTATCCGAGCTGATCTAATTAGAACAGAAAAAGACTGGAAGAAATGGACCTTTACGGAACTTGTCGAAGCTTTACGTCAATGGGTCGAGCGCAATCCCCTACAACCTGGAGATAAAGATGGCGGCCAACATCCAAAATTTAAGCAAAGAGACAATCAATTTGCAACAAGAGATCACGTAAAACAACGTCAATGTGTATATTGTGAAAATGACGACCATAGATCAGTGGAATGTACCAAAGTTGTCGATGTCGGACAGCGAAAGAGAATACTAAGCATAAAGAGACGGTGTTTCAACTGTACGGGAGAAAAACATAGAGCAAGAGAGTGCAAAAGTAATACCCAATGTTACAAGTGCCAACGTAAACATCATACATCCATTTGTGACAAAGCTGAACCAAGCCCTACAATGTGCCAACCGAACCAATCCAACGTGATATATCCTGTAGTAGTTGTTGAAGTAGAAGGAGTTAAATGTCGAGCGTTACTGGACACTGGTTCAGGAAATTCTTATGTATC